CAGCAGTCAGCTTCAATTTGTCACACTGTTCCAGAAGTTTGAGAAGTGGTTCTCAGGGCTGTTTGGTAATTGCTGGAGCCAATTACAAGCTTTTTAAAGCTGACCTAATCAGTGGTCCACTGACAACAGTCAGAAGCCAGTTGGCCTTGCTTTGCTCGTACTTTCAAAAACTTTTCTCCCTTTATTTGCCACTTTACAAACTTTCGGCACATCTTCCTTCCTATAATCACACAAGTCAGAAACCACGTATCTAAATGTTTAAAAGTTGGATGCATGTACTAAGATTCTTCTTGGCGGTTTTATGATAGCTGACTTCAAAAGTGGCCTTCACTTTATTTAGGTGTGGCCTGTTTTCTGACTGCTAGGATATAAAGATGGGTTTGATACTGCAAGCGCTAAGAACTGCAGAAACATCTGAACGTTCACAATGTGAATTAAAGTAACAAGGGGAAAGTTATTTTCCATAAAGTCACTTTGGTAAAAACGAGTCCTGAAAATATCACTTTCTTTAACTACTAGTAATCCTAGGTTCAGGACTGGAAGTTAATTATGGATGCTAGAAGGAAGAATAGAGATGTATCCTCCAGTTTGGCAACCCACACTAAGCAAGGACATATTTTGCTCTGACATACATAGCGTCCTGCCCTTTGCTAGCCAAGCGGTGAAATTACAGTGGCAAATAAGAGAAAGGAGAAGATGGCAAAGTTGCAGAGTTGGCAAAGGGGAAAGCTAGAAAGAGGATGTACAGAAAAGTAGCACAGAATAAAGTTATGGAGAAGGGGCAAAGAGTGGAACTCAAGCAAAATTTAGGTGAAAGGGAAAGATGAGGGGAAATTTGAGTCTTCTCTCCTCAAAACGTGATCTAGAATGGGGGTCCTCAAACTTTATAAACAAAGGACCAGTTTACGGTCCTTCTGATAGAAATAAAAAAAGAACAAATTCCTATGCACACTGCATGTTTCTTATTTGTGGTGGAAAAAAAAAACATGACAAAACAATAAGATATTTAAAATGAAGAATGATTATAGCCAATTATACCAGCATTTCAATGGGAGGTTAGGGCCTGGTTTTGGCTGATGGGGGAGTCAAGTTAATTAGAATTGTTGTTGTTGTTGTGCGCCTTCAAGTCATTTCAGACTTAAGGTGACCCTAAGCCTAAAGTTTAGGATGGGGGCCAGGTAAATGACCTTGGAAGGCTCCATCTGGCCCGTGGGCCTTAGTTTTGGGACATCTGGTTTGGAATTTCAATGAGCTCTGTTTATTACTTATTAGTTTAGAGCAGTGGTTCTCAACCTGTGGGTCCTCAGATGTTTTGGCCTTCAACTCCCAGAAATCCTAACAGCTGGTAAACTGGCTGGGATTTCTGGGAGTTGTAGGCCAAAACACTTGGGGACCCACGGGTTGAGAACCACTGGTTTAGAGCATTAATTCATTGCCCTTTAACCACAAATGTTCCCTGAGCAACTTATAAATTGTTTGTTTGACAATCTTTAATCTAAACATTGACATCAGTATATCACATTACATGCAGTGCTGGAAACCATCCTATTATTTCTAGAAAATTTTCATAAATGGCTATCATTTAACATTTTATGAAAATTTAGATGTCCATTCTGATGTTTGTCCAAGAAACAGGCTGAACATCAGCATTATACCTTTCTTACACTCAGAGAACAGAGTGGTTGGCTTTACTGACACCTTGTGTTTGAAATTCTAGCTTGATGTAACATTAGAAAACGCGACGAGTTGTGATGGTAATAAGGAAGTATGCAGTAGAAAAAAAGACAAAAAGTGTTAAGTTTGTTAACCTTTAAAGGCCAGTTTCATAGAACAAGCATTTGTGATACCAGATAGCAATATAACTTAATAGGAAAATTACGTTGCAAGTTATTATCTGTTAAAAGTATTTATCGATTGCTTTTAAACGCACCAAGCTTCTAAAATAATGATCCACAGAGAAAAACAATGCGACCCACAGAAGGCAAGACCAATTTGAATTAACTGCAATGACAGCGGCGTAAAGTCAATGTCAAAGAGCCACAGAGAGATGAAAGTTGTGCTACATTATATTTCTACTTCTTTGTTTACTTCAATACAAGCTTTTAATATATCCTATCATAATAATTCTAACTATATGCTGATAATCACATAATCTCCGAGTCTAAAGATGTATTTGCGACTTAATTCTCAAAATGAACCCAAGGTGGCACCAGAAATTCATTTAATGGTAATGAACTAATAAGATACTGTTTATATTATGGCATACTTTTATCTCTAACATGAAACTCACAAAATAGATTCAGATTTATCTTTGCATGATGTTTTGAAATGAGAGGGGAACAACCAGGCATGTAGCCCGGGGGGGGGGGGGGGGGGGGCTTCAGCCCCCCCCCCCCCGAAATTCTCATGGTGGTTCGCGAAAAGGCCTTACTGGTGCATTATTTAAACTGTTATGTTTATTCATATCATGATCTGATCACCATACTCAATATATCCCGTATGCATGGGGGTATTGGGGTAACGATACAAAAGGTTTGCTAGGATAGACCCTCTTTCACTCAGACTCAGCCCCCCCCCCCGAAAACAAGGGAAAACAAAATCAGACACATTATTTTCTAATTTTTGGCGGGGGGGACGGGGACAGGGACACCAAAGCTGGATATACTTTGTAATACATCCACTTTTGAATGACTTTTATTTTTATTTATACCTCACTCACCAGAAAACAGACCCTAAGTAGCCCACAACATGGATTAAAACAAAATACTGTATGGTTAAAATTCAATCATAATATTAACAAAACTAATAAAGCAAAATTCTTACCAAACCAATGTATACTAAGAAGTGCTCCCATCTGTTTGATGTACCGTACTCCCAAAGAAGTGTGGATAGGATAGGGAGAAGAAAGGCTCTATTATTTCTGGGAGGCCTCAATGAAAATCACTATCTTAATATTTCTCAGTGTTGGATCAGTTTTGATTGATAATGCCTGGGTAGGCTCAACCACAGGCAAGTTTTTGTATGATTATTTTGTCAGATCATTGGGGCTCCGCTCATTGCAGTCAAGTCTTGCGCCTGTGCTTTCCCATTCCATGCTATTGCATCCTTGTTGTGAATATAATGTATTTACCAGGGAGATAAATGCCACTGTATAAGGCAGTACAAGTTGAGTATCCTTCATTCAAAATGCTTGGAATCAGAAGTGTCCCATATTTCAGGTTTTTGATGATGGCAATGATGGAATATTTGCATATATATAATGAGATATCTTAGAGATGAGACCCAAGTCTAAATAAAATTCACTTATATTCTATATCATCTTATATACATTTCCTGAAGGGAATTGTTTGCATACTATTTAACTGTTTTGCACAAAGCAACCTTTGGGTACATTGAACCACCAGAAAGTGAAGATGTCACTATTTCAGCCACACATATGGACACTTTTGGAGTATTTTATATTTTAAAATTCTGGATCCGAAATGCTTAAACTGTATTTTAGTTAACATGGGAGAAATTAAAATGTCTTCTTAGAGATATCACTGTATGAGGATTAAACATGTCTCTAGACCTCTTGATGCCCTTGTTTGAAATGGAAAGTTCTCTTCCTTCTCAGCTCCTTCATTCCATGGAGAACCGAGACAGCTCTTACCTATATACTCTCTCTCTCTGCCCTGTTTCAAAACATGTGTATCACCCCACTGCACCTGTACTGATGACAGGTGCAGCCTAATGACACTGTCAATCATCGCCTTCTCCTGAGAAAAATATATAATATCACAAAGGACTACCACCTCACCTGCTTCATAGGAAATCTGCTACAAAACAGGAGCTTTTTTTGTTGAATTCCAGGGCTAGAGAAGCAGATGGCAAAAATGGCCTGCCTCAGGGGAGTGTGCTCAGTCCATCAATGTTTAACATTTACACAAATGATCAGCCACTGCCAGAAGGGATAGAGTTTCATCTATGCTGACAATTGTGCCATCACCACCCAAGCAGGGAGCTTTGAAATGGTTGAACAGAAGCTCTTTGAAGCTTTCGGTGCTCTTACTGCCTATTACAGGGAAATCCAATTGATTCCTAATCCATCTAAAACATAGACGTGTGTCTGCTTTTCATATTAAGAACAGACAAGCATCTTGAGATCTGAAGATTACCTGGGAAGGAATCCCACTGGAGCACTGCAGCACACCCAAATACCTGGGAGTTACCATGGACCATGCTCTGACCTACAAGAAGCACTTACAAAAAGTGGGTGCTATAAACAATATCATACAGAGGCTGACTGGTACAACTGGGGATCACAACCAGATACGTAAGACATCTGCCCTTGCACTTTGCTACTCTGTTGCTGAGTATGCATCTCACCATGCTAAAACAGTGGATGTGGCTCTTAATGAGACATGTTGCGTTATCACAGGATGTCTATGCCTTACACCACTGGAGAAATTATACCGTTTAGCCGGTATTGCACCACCTGACATCTGCAGGGAAGTAGCAGCCACTAGTGAAAGGACCAAAGCAGTGACATCTCCGGCCCATCCCCTGTTCGGATACCAGCCAGCACATCAATGCATTAAATCAAGAAATAGCTTCCTAAGGTTTACAGAGATACTCGCAGGAACACCTCAGCAAGCGAGAGGAAGGCAAAAATCCAGAACCTCAAGCTATGAGTGATACTGAGTGAGAGACTCTCCTCTGGACACACAGAGGACTGGGCGACTTGGAAGTGAACAGATTGCACTCTGGCACCACGAGATGCAGAGCCAACCTTAAGAAATGGGGAGAAAGGTGGGGTATAAATAAAGTAAATAAAATAAATAAATAGCATTCTGAAAAGGAATCAGAAGGATCATTTGTTCAGCTTGTCATTATGTATATATGGTATATATTTTGCAAGTGTTCCAAGGTCATTTGCATATCACTATTTGAAACGTCTTGGTTAGATACTTTGGAGACATATGCTTTTCAATACTTTCATGCACACAACAGCAGCTTACCTTGTGGAATCTGGAGATGGCTTTACCCGACCCTGGGTGTTTTCCTCCCACACACTGTTTGCTAGCTCATTCCCAATTGCGGACATTACTTTGATGAGTTCTATAGGCCAATCGTCCAAATCAAGGGAACGGACACGGGACAGGTGTGTGCCAAGGTTTCGATGTATCCCTGAACATTCAATACACATGAGCGCCCCCAGATTTAAGCTTGCCCAATCAGGATCTATTGAAAAAAAGAAAAATAAGAACAGAATGAAATGTCCTTAATTGTAGGTTGACTAGAGGCAATTATCTGCAGAGTTAACACAGTGATTGAATAATATATGATATTGAAAATCCTGTATCTCAGTCTCATGTATGACACAATGTTTAGCCTCTTCAAGAAAGCCACAAGAATTAGCACAGGAAACATTAGTTTTTAGCACAAATTGTTAGGAAGTATGGCATGGAAAGCACACAAGCAATTTAAGTTTCCAATTTAGGTTTCCCTGCTGCCTTCTTCCTTGAACAATGGGAGTGAAAAGATTGATGTCCTTACACAAAGAACGTATGTAATATCTTAAGTTGTCATAGGTTAACTATTGTAACAAAAGTAATATGAAGACAAGAAAATAAAATCATTAGGCACTTCCGGAAAAAGAGATAATGGGAAAAAAGAAGCTCAGCGAGTCCAAGATAAAAAGGAGAACAAATTTTACAGCCTTGACTGTATTTAGACATCTTTCAGACTGGTACTTTTCTCTGATTCTCATGGTTTATAAATATTTGCTTAGTAGAAAATTATTTAGTGCTAAAATATACTTTATCAATTTTGCTGAGAGATAAATTAATGGTTTTGACTGTAATCTGTTGTGTTGTATCCTTTTTAGTTTGTCAGCATGTAAAAACCAATTGAAGGAAGTGGTGGCCAGATTGGGAGAAAATCTCAAGGATTCTTTAAAAAGCGTATGAAAGACCCTCCCTCCATCCCAACTGCCATTGCTCTGGCCTCCGAGGGAGAAACGAAGCAGAACTGTCACTGGACTTAACCCTTTCCCTTACTGCTACTCACATTTCTTTCTCTGTTGGATCCTATTTAGATTGTAAACCTCAGGGCAAATTCAACCTTTTTGGCTGAAGAGTGGGATACAAATACTCTAAATTTATAAACAACATTTAGTCTTCTGCTAGATAAATAATTATGTTTATCAAGGACTTTCAATGTAAAACTTTTGATTTGAGAATCCCTCTGCACTTATGACACCAAACATGAATGACAACCACAATTGTGCTACTTAACTCTAGTGTGTGGCCAAGTTTAATAAAAGATAGCAAGGAAACTGATATCAGGTAAAAGTATGAAATGCAAGTCACTGAAAGACTCTGATCTTTTAATGTTTTGTATTGTTAGAACCTTTCCAATAGAGAAGAACTTCACAGGTGTGTTGGCAGATATACTTGGAACATTTCCATGTTTTAAAAAAGGAAATAAAAAGCAAAAATAATCAGAAATAAAATTGTATTCATAATGAATTGCAATTTCCCTCTTATATCTAGAAGGGCTCCTTTCACCTGTCCCTGGGCTTCTGTTAGAATGACAAGAAGTAAGTCTTCCTCGTTTCTTCCCTGCAGAAAAAAGTAAAGTTTTCCCAAGAAAAAAAGTAAAGTTTGGAGAGTTTCAAAAACAGTACATAGTTCTGTACTGTTCTCTCCTTCCTTCTGATGGCGTTGTGTGTAGAGAATCCACATGGAACTGGTTCCATTCGGGGGACATTGGAATAAATGCATTATGCAGTTGCAATTTTTAAATTTAAGAACTTTGGGGAATCTTAGGCTTCCTTCACAAAATTCAGACAGCAAGCAGAAAATGGATAAAACAGCCTTTATTGGGGTAAACTTAGTCAACTCTCCGATCTTAGCTCTTTTTTTGAAAAAAAAAATAATAACACACAACAGGGAAGAAAGCAACCATAATTGCTTTCCTAATACTGTGTTTTTTTCTTTCTCTGCTATTATCTTGGAAAAGGATGACTTCAAAATTTCTAAGACAAACTTTTTTTTCTTGCCAGGGTAACAGTAGCATGATTGGCTGAAAAATTAGTGTGATTTTTTTTTTAAAAAATCCTTCCTAAAAACTGCTCCAGGTCAGTACCAACAAAAAGGTGAGATCTTAATGAAAGTAGCTTTATCTGATAACTATGATTTAATAGGAATACAACACACAAATCTACTTCTATAATGAACACTAACCTCTAAAAGGAACATAGAATATAATACCATGAGGGCAAGAACAGGAACAGGTGTTCGTGTAACACTGAAGCAAAGAGACTGTAAGCTTTATGAAGCTCAGGATAATGTTCCTTGTGTAAAAAATGGTTGTACTTACTTTGTACCTCACAGTCCACACAGCGAGAATTGCCTGTGATGTTTCTTATTGACTGAAGGGCCATGGCCTCATTCTGACTTGTCAGTCGGGACTGTATGTATTTAAAGAAACACACATACAAGGAATAAGAGCCCAAAGAAAAAGCAGACACAACATCACTGTCAGATGGTGAAAAGGAGTTCAGACCTGGGTTGAATGAACATGATCATGGAATTTGATGCCTTTGGTTAGCTTCTCAGAGAGTTGATCCTTTAGCATCTTTAAGTACTGCAATTCAGTGTCTGACAAGCACCGCTCACCATTTGTATCCCTGCTTCTGACAGCTCCAGCTTTTATTGAATCACTCGGGCATACAGAGTACAGGACGTCTGGAATCCAGCTGGGGTTGTCAGAGGTAAAGCAAGTTCAAAATTGAAGCGTGCCATTAATGCCGAAACTGATGATAAAATAGCCTGTTCTTGGACTGAGAGGCTGCAAAATTAAAGACATTTCTAAACACGATCACGCTTTTATTTCCCAGCTAATGACAGTTAAGGAAATTTGGCAATACCACGTAATGGTAAACTGAGCATTCGATCATCAAAAGGCCAGTTCTGATCTAATGGCTTACATTGTAAGCCTCTCTCCTCAGCGGCCTGCCTGTGACCTCAACTTTGACCTGGAGAGATAATCTCTACAGAGAGTGACTTTCAGCCTCTATGCCAGCTGAGTCCTGAACAAATTCAACTACGGACTTCTTGCTAGGGATTTCAATGAGAGCCACATAATACTTTATGTAAGCTAGATTTCAGATGCACTTTCATCTGGTTTTCCTGTTAATGGATTCCTCGCTTTGTTTGCTTCCTACCTTTAGAAATTTTAAATTGGTGGAAGTGCTCATATTATTTCATTCTAAGTTAGGATTGTAAAAAACACATTAGGCAGTATGTAAAAGTACTGTTTGTTTATGGTGCCTTCTCCCTACCAATTTTTTGTAATTCCTTCTGTTCTTTAGGATCACAAGACCTCTGATTTATTTCCATGATATATCTAATGTATACATGTGCGTGTTTTTGCAACACCCATCAACCTATAGCAACCCCATGAATTTCCGAGGATTTTTAAAGCAAGAAATTTCCCCAGATCCTTCTTCTAAAATAGTACCTAGCAAGTAGTGGGCTCATATCCAGGTATCAACCAGAACCAACCCTGCCTAGCTTCCAAGATTAGATGGAATCTGGTATGTTCAGGGTTTTAGGTACCTTTAATGCATTGTACTTTATTATAGAAAAGAAAAAAGACAAAGAGTTTTTCATAGTAAAGGACAACAAAATTTGGACATGTATTTATTGACATACGATCTGTCCATACCAGCAGGGCCGTAGCCAGAAAAAAAATTCGGGGAGGGTTGAAAATTTCAGGGAGGGTTGAAAATTTCGGGGAGGGTCGGGGGGGGGGGGTAGGGTCACGCTGAAGCAAAGAGCACAGCAGGGGGCAGAGCAGCCTTCAATAGCCTGCAGCTCTGCCCCTGTCAACCACCTCCACCAAGTCTGGCCTCCTTAATGAGAGCATTCAACCCCCCCCCCCAACTTGGTTGCTTCACTACATTGGCTATTGCTGCAAGTAATGACAGTGTGAATAAATTGTCAATATTTGCTTGAGATAGTGCTTGCAGTTCTGGAGGGACTCTTAATTTTTTGCATCTCATAGACTTAGCATGGGGGTTTGGTTAACCAGTTAAAATTCATGAGTAAACCAGTTTTTTTAAAAAAAATCTGAAACATTTCGGGGGGGTTGAACCCCTAACCCCCCCCCCCCCCGGCTACAGCCCTGCATACCAGAAAAAACCAAACAATCTATTTCTGAGTAACCTGCCTCATTGCTTTTAACAGGTCAGAATGAGAACTTAGTTGATCAAGGCTATAGAAATATGACAATTTTGAGGAAAGTGTTGGCCGAAAAATGTGAGAGACAAACACTGGCAGACATCTACCAGTAACTAAGAGACACAGTGACAGATAGGAGTTTCACAAAAGCTCTGGCACAGGTAGAACATGTATAAACTAAATCCCTAAATAGGCATGTGTTGTAATGGCAGAGCAGTACAACATTGCTCTGATACAATCCTAGTGTTAAGCATAAAACAGTGCATGTTTTCTACACATATCGAAATGCATCAGCTTATTAAAAAATAGTAATACTTCTAGGTTTTTAAAAATAGTTTTTGCTGATTTCAAAGTATTAAAATGAGTCTATGATAAATAAATAAAGAAGCAATTGCTATAATTAATGGAGTCAGTAATTCAACCAACTTAGTTATTTCAAATATGGTGTTGGACAGAAAAGTGAAATAATTCCTGTAAATGTAAGCAAAACTAGGAAACCTAAAAATAACATTGAACAGCAAAACAGCATTCCAGATCTGATATTGCTTGTCAGGATGTCTCCTCTGAAGCCTCACAGAGACTGTAAGTGCTAACAGCAATGATTCATTTCAATTGGTCAATGTGGTAAATCTAACCTTATTCTTGCTGCTCTCACATGACTGCAAACTGGCCAGGATCTGACTCTCTATAGCCTGGACCCAGGCATCTCTTTCTTCATATGTTGTTGCTTCAAAGTGCCAAGTCTGACCAGTGAGGGATACAATGATAAATTCAAAATTTTCTTCTTGTTCTGAAACAGAAATAGGAGGCAAGAGTGAGAGGGAAGGAAGACAGGCATGTTTACACTTAAAGGAAAAAATGCAACAAGGAGTCCCACATCTCTTTCATTGCTATTTAAAATAAAAAGCAGCCTTGTAAGGTGTAATTAGATGTGGTGGTAGAGAGGGTCTCTCTAACCTATTCCATTTCAGCCATTGGCCCTTGGAAATTTGCCTCCCCCCTCAATTGGTTTCTCACTTGCAAAAGGGAAAGATGCCCCCGTGCATCTGCCTTCAAGTTGCTTGTTGACTTATGGTGACCCCATGAATATATTATTTTTCCCCTGAAAGAGAAGACCTTTTTTTTGGTGTAGAATGCACGTGGTTGAGTTTTAGCAGACAAGTGACAGAGAAAAACAAAGATTTTTCTATTTCCAGCTTTCCAAAACAGTTTTTTTAATTTAAAATTAGGAAAGATAGCTATGAAAGTCTCACTCTACCTAATTTGGCCTGACATAAAGCAACCAACAGTGATTGTTTTTGGATGTATACTTCCTTTATGATGATAACTGCATATTTTTCAAATGTAATTTCTGAACATTCGTGTGCATTACCACATACATAGTTTTCGAAAATGAATGGTGTTCCCCCACCAGATGAAATAAGAGACAGGTTTCCCATACATTTAATGGTTGTATAGAGGGGAAATATTCAGTAAGGGTTGCTTGTATGAAAAATAAAACCTAACATACCTTCTTCTATACAACTATTAGTTACAGGAATGCTGTCCCTTATTTTACCTGATAACCCTAAATTGGCATCAAATAAGTACTGACCACTTAAACTATAAATTAATGACAAATTCAGTTCAAAATATTGAAATTCCTCCTGTCATTCATGGAAGAAAATAGCAGTCCTGTATCTGAATGATTAAAGTTTGTAGCCCAGCACCATGGCTCACTGGAAAAAGTAGGACTACCAAAATTTATACCCAAAATGTGCCCAAACTGGAATTAAAATGCAAGCAAATGGCTTCAAGTAGCAGCAATATAGTGAGGAAAGGTTCATACTACATGGCCCAAAACATAGATATACACTTTGTGGCATCCACACAATTCACAGGACATTTCTCCCATTACACAGCTGTAATATACAATAACGATATAACAATAAATGGTTATCCCAAGAATAATCAGTTAATCCAATGTAGCAATCACAATTAAGTAACAACATTGTCCTCCCGGGCCTGTATTGAGTGGTGCCTCACTCTCTGAACTAAGAAGATGGGTTTAGAATTATGGGATATTTCCTATACAAATGTAGTAATATTACGGATTCACTGTTTGACTTCACTATTAGATAAAGTTAAACAATGTCTTCTCCTAGTACAAAATAACATATGGTTCTGTTCTTTCCATGGAATAATCCACTCATTATTTTTCTGTATCTACCCAGGAATCTTTGCCAGGATAGGCTGGTCTTTTGCTGTACACTTGCTTGCTATGGGTTTTCCTCCCAAGCATTTGCCAAAGACTTATTTCAGTACTACAACTGAGCACTGAAATATGAGGTAGCTCCCAGTCTATGCACAGTCTATCCCTGCTATTTTTCCTCTTTCTCTCAGTTTAATCAACATGTAAAGGATGAAGACATGGAAGCCAAAGATCATTTTCCTTGCCCAGTACAGTTTCACCTGGAACAGGGATGAGCCGAGGTGAGAAGAAGGGCTAGCCCTTCTTTCCCTCCTGCCTTCCTAAGAAATGTTCTAATTGAGTATGAGGTTAGAACAACAGAAGCAGGTTAGCCTCTCTAGAAGGCAGCCTCTCTGTGCTGGAACTGGATCCGAAGAGCAGGCAAGCTCTAATTTTTCTGTCTGCAGCAGACATTATGAGATACAGTTTTGATCAGACATCTGGTAGACAGAATTGTTAATTGTTAATGCTATAAAACCCATCTTAAGCTTAGCCTGTAAAGAAATGTCCCATCACAGAAATACCATTGGATTCCAACTGTGCATAGCCTTGGAGCTACTTTTCTTCTGACTTCATTCTACTGAAATTGAAAATGAGATGAAAACGACAATATCATCATTAGCACCATCTATTCATGCTATTTACAACTTGTCGTCCCCCCCGCCCAAAATAGAGACTCAAAGCAGCTGAGAATTAAAAATGTAGAAAAAACCCCACACACAATCAACTCTAAGGTCAAATTAAACCATCAACGATATCTAAAAACCAGTGAAAATGATAAAATTTGGGTTAAAAACAATACAGTTAAAAACAGTAGAGCGCGCTCTTAAAAGTCCCGTCTTTAAAACACGATCAGTACTCAAAAATTACAAAAAGTATGGACAACCTGTATGATACTCAGGAATAGGATGCATGTGTATAATGATACATTTTTTTAAAAAAACTGCTTTTTGAGAATATGAAGACTGACCCATGCTAACTTGTTAGCGCTTGTCAGAAGAAATATTTTTTTTTCAAAAAAAGAATAAAGATGTCAAAAATAGGATTCACACATTAGCAGTAGAATGCATCTATTCCATTTCACAGGCACCTTTTAACTTATTTATTTAGGCAACACGCTTACAATCATATTTCAGATCCAAGTTAGTGCTAGTATTGGCATGTACTCTAAGTGCCTTTTAGGAAAAAAAAGATTAAGTCTATCAAAATATTTTGAAAGGTTGACAGAATGACCATTATGAAATTATTCTCAGCTGCATTTTGTAACATGCCAAATGCCCTTTCCTTTCCCAGGAGACAAGTTTTGTGGGCAGCTGGAGTCCATAGGTGACTACTTGACTCTATTACTGTCATTCAGCCCATGTAATTTGAAAGTCACGGAACCTCTTGGAAGAAATTTTATGGCAAGGTAGAAATTATCTTTAGATGGACAACAAAGCAGTGAAGGAATCAAGGGATCCAAGCAACAGATGGGTCTACATTAGTTGGGACTATAGTCAGGCTCATTTCTCATAAGTCAAACTGGGGAGCAGGTAGTATAGATATATGGTGTATGGGTGTGTGTGTGTGTCAAACACAGTCTTCTCTGCATCTTCTCCCCATTTCTCTACACTGCCAAAATTGAGTCCCATGGAGTTCATCACATGACGCAAGGCAACTTCGGGCAGGACTCCATTTCAGCAGTGTAAAGAAATGGAGCCCAGAGTACCTTTGGAGGAGTCAGATGTTAGCCGACTCCTAACTGGAGAACACGGGGAGGAAGTGCAGAAACGACAGGAAAGCACGGGGAATGAGAGGTCATCCCAGAAGTCGGAAAAAGATGGTAGAGAACAAAAGAGGATGCTTCCCTTCACTTTCCCCCATTTTCCCTGCCTGTCTGATAAGGTCTTTGCTTAACAGTTCTATCAGGAAGCTCCTTTTTACACAACCATGCTATAAACACCAACTTCCTTTTCAGTTACTATCATCTGTCTAGCATGAGAGAAGCCTCCTCACAGGATCGTAAGACATCCGGGCATCCCCTGGGCAACGTCTTTGTAGACGGCTGATTCTCTCACTCCAGAAGCAACCAGAAGCGACTTGCAGCATGCAAACAAGCAAGCAAAACAACCAAAGGACCTTTTCAGGACCAACCATGACAATAATCTCAATCAACATTGAAGGCATGTCAGCTACCAAAGAACAACTGCTCTATCAACTGTGCCGAGATAAGAAATGCGATGTGCTGTGTGTCCAAGAAACACACAGGGATGAACAACAGAAACAACCCAAAGTTCCAGGAATGGTCTTAGTAGCGGAAAGACCACATGCGCAGTATGGAAGCGCCGTCTTTGTCAAACCAGGCCTCCAAGTCAGCAGTGCCCACAACACTGAAGAAAACAATATAGAAGTTATAACAGTAGAGCTTAATAACATCACCATCACCTCTGTGTACAAGCCCCCAAATGAAGAGTTCTGCTTCTCCTCCCCCGAGAACTTTGATAGGCACCAAAGGGCGGTAGTAATTGGTGACTTTAACAGCCATAGCCATGTATGGGGCTATGCTCAAGAGGATAAAAATGGAGAGGCTGTCCTCTCCTGGTCTGAACTGCACAAACTATCACTCATCCATGATAGTAAGCTCCCACCATCCTACAACAGCGGGAGATGGCACCGAGGATATAACCCAGACCTCTTATTTGTGAGCAACAGCATTGTACAGCAATGCACTAAATCAGTGGGACCACCAATTCCAAACACACAGCACTGACTAATAGTATGCCAACTGTTCCCAACAATAAAGCCTCAGGAAGTTCGATTTAAACGAAGATTCAACTTCAGAAAGGCAGACTGGACTAAATTCTCAGACATGTTAGATGACATGATCACATCGGTCGCGCCAATCCCTGAGAAATACGAGCACTTTATTGAAATCGTGAAAACCTGCTCACGGGCCTCTATACCGAGAGGCTGTAGAACCAACTACCTTCAGGGCATTACTCCTGAAACAGCTGCCTTGTTGGAAAACTATTACAGGCTTCACAATGAAGACCCATTTTGTGAGCAAAGTCTTCAGGCAGCGCAGAGCATTCTGTCGTCCATCTCTGAAGCCAAAAAGAACAGGGGATCAAGCTGATCACAGAGGTCGACATGGGCAGGAGCAGCCAGAAGGCCTGGAGGCTGCTAAGACGGCTGAGCAATGACCCCTCACAAACTAATACCCATGCCAACATAAAGGCAGATCAGATAGCACACCAACTCTTGAAGAATGGGAAACCCAACCTTGCCACCAAAGTAGGAAAGAAACCAATAGCCAGACAACCAGAGATTGAGAACAACAACCTTCATGAACCCTTTACATCTACTGAATTGGACATGGCTCTCAATAAATGTAAAAATGGCAAAGCAGCTGGCCTGGATGATCTACAGATGGAACAAATCAAGAACTTTGGTCCAAAAGCAAGGTGCTGGCTACTGGAGCTGATGAACAACTGCATTGCATCCTGTCAGATCCCCAAAATCTGGAGGAAAGCAAGAGTCATCGTCATCTTGAAGCCAGGCAAAGACCATAATAACCCAAA